GAGAGCTGGGTCTAGAGTTGAGAAGACCTGAGTTCAAATGTGACTGTACCATTTATTAGCTGTGTGATCCTGGGCAAGTCCTATGCCTGTCTGCCTCAGTTTTCTTGACTGTAAAATGGGGAAAATAATAGTACATGCCTCCCAGGGTTGTTGTGAGGATAAAATGTGGTAATAACTGTAAAATGCTTAGTGTAGCCCAGGGGTGGGGAACCTGTGGCCTTGAGGCCACACGTGGCCCTGTAGGTCCTTAAATGTGGCTCTTCGAGTCCAAGCCTGTGAAGTTTGGATTCATTCAAAGGGCCTCACTTGAGGATCTAGAGGGCCACATGTGGCCTTGAGGTCACAGGTTCCCCACCCCTGTTATAGAGAAAAGCAACTTTGAGAGACTTGAGAACTCTAATCAGTGACAATAACCACAAATCCAGAAGACTGAAGATGAAGCATGCCACTTAGCTCTTCCTTGAAAGGGGCCGAACAATGAATGAAGAGAGATACATTTGGGGCATGGCCAATGTGGGATTTGTGTTATTGGACTATGAATGTTTATGAGGAGGGTATTCTTTTTAGGGTATTTTTGTTGTTGTTGTTTAGTTAAGGGGTTCATAGAAAGAACAGATTACAAATGCATATAAAAATAAGTAAATTTTAAAAAGAAAAACACCACAAAAATGGATTTGTTATTATTCTTATTATTCTTACAGCTTGCACAGTTATCATTTAACAGTCACCCCCAGGACAAACACGCCTTCCATATCAGCCTAGGTTCCGTAAGAATCCAGCACCTGTAGGAATTTGGGACAACCTTATTCTGCTGAAGAAGGAAATTCCCTTCAGCTCTGTGAAAGCAATCAGACATTAATGCTGAAGACCAGAAAATTGGGTGCCAGATTTCCTTGGATTAGAGATGGCATTAGAACCTGCCAGCTCACAGGAAATTATAACAACAGCTCATGACTGCCAGGAACACAATTCCAGGTGCCTGCTGGCTGTTTTTCCCCACTTGGGACCTGCATTTGTCTGCAGGCAATGGACAAATAGCAGCCTACAATTGCTAGAGATCACCAATATTTGGTTCTATGCAGTGAATCCCACTGCTTGGTGTTTTTGCAGCTAAATGGTTCTCAGAAGATAAAAAGCCAATTGTGCACCTTGGCTGTCTGAAATCCCTCAATCAGCAAGCATTTTTAAGTGCCTGCTATGTGCCAGGCTCTGTTAGGTGCTGAGGATGGAATTCCCAACAAGTTCATATTGCAATGGTAGGTAGTGTCTCTCGATGGCCTGCTGGAGCCCACTTCCACAAAGCTCAGCATTCCAAGCTGCTGTGCTGGAGGTGCCCCAATTATGCTTCCAGGATCTGGAAAGTTGTACCTTCCTCCCAGGAATATCTACTGTATGCTAGGCACTGTCCTAGGTGCTAGGAATACAAAGACAAGATTCTGAGCCTGATCTACTTTATTACCATTCTGCAACTGAATCCCATAGTAGAATATAGGATGTAAAGTCCTTGACAGGAGTGATGTTCTTGTTTTATCTTTGTAGCTCCAGCGCTTAGCACAGTGCTTGACCCATTACAGGCAGATAATAAATACTGTAACATTGAGAAGCAGTGATGTGAAGCAGTGAGAAGAGGGCTAGCTTTAAGGATCAGGAAGAATCAGACACATACATACAGGCTTAGTGACTCTGGGCAAGTCACTTCAATCTCAAAGTGACCCTAGGACTAAAAATTCATGAGAAGGTGCTGATTTGCATTGTTAGTGGAAGTCTCTTACCAGGAGTTCATTATAATGAAGTTACAAGTCTGGTTTAAAAAAAATGGGAATAGGGGAAGAACTTGTGCAGAGCAGGACAAACTGAGAAGACGTGGGACACTTATGGGCAAGCCAAGAACTTTGCTGGGCCACCATGAAGAAATGCCAAAGCTGGGAGCGAGTCATTGTAAAGAATTCTCTGCCTCCAGTTGCTCCATGATTTACTCTGGGTGTAAGGAAGCAGAAATACTTTGCCTCCTCTTCAGGACTGGGATCCTGCGTGTGGAGAAGAGCTATACTAAAGCCATGTGGAGACCTGCTCTCAACTTATGCTGTTGAACTGGTGCATCATTAGGAAGGAATGTAAGGGCAAGTGCCCAGAGAAGCCTCTTCTTTAGCTGACTTACCATGTGTCTGAGAGCAACTTTTCTGGATGTCTGCAAACAGAGGGGCTCTCACTAAATCACCTATGAGGTCTCTTCCTGCTCTGATCAATAACATTAAGGTGGTTCTGAGACTTCTATTTAGCTTGGCTTTTTTTCCTGACTGCTATCCCTCACACCCTCTATAGCCATGTGCTGAATTTCTACCCATCCTTTAGCATGGTTCAATGGGATATCTGGAAGCAGAGGATGTGGATTTTGATTATATCTCAGAGCAAGTATCCCTTATGACTGTAGACAAGTCACTTAACCACACTGGGCCTTAAAAAATCACCTAAACCAAAAAAGCATGCATGCACCTACATATGTACATTATCATATATGTATGCATATATATCATAGCAGACCTAAAATGCTCACCTCTCCCCAGTGTTTGGCCATTTTTTTCCCCTTTCCTCAGATGAATTAGCTTTCTTCAAGTTCCAACTACAACCTCCTCTTCTACAGGAAGCATTTTCCAAACTCTCTTAATTCTAGCCCCTTCCCTCTATTAATTATTTCCTATTTATCCTCAGTATGGCTTGCTTTGTATATATTTGTTTGCATGTTTCTCTCTCATTAGATCGTAAGCTCCCTGAGGACAGGGACTATCTGTTGCCTTTCTTTGTATCTCCAACATCTAGCACACAGTAGGCATGTAACTACTGTCTGTCTGTGATTGCCTCTAAGCTGTATTTTTGAAGTTGATTTTTTTGCACCAAGCTATACGTCTTACTACAGCAGAACCTTGGGGGCTATCCAGTCCAACCCTCTCAGCTTTAGAGATTATAGAACTGAGTCCCAGGAAGTTGTGACTCATACCGAGGTCATGTAGACAGAAAGTGTTTGAGCTGAGATATGAAAGCAGTCTTCTGGCTCCAGACAGAGTCTTCTTATTCTTCATAGGCACATTCTAATTGATTAAATTTCATTCTATTAGCTTTATTCCAATGTCTTGATATTTTTTGGATCCAGACTCTGTCATCCAATATATCAGTAGTAGTAGCAACAGCAACAGCAACAGCAACTATTACTACTACTACTGACATTTATATAGTGCTTTAACGATTGCAAAGTGCTTTATTTACATTGTGTTTTCTAATCCTCATAATAACCACATGAAACCACCTGTATGTTATCTGCTTATTGGATAAGTGTGCTATTGATACCTATGTGGTTTCGACCAAGTTGCAGCACTTTGTTTACACCTCTCTAAAAATAATTCACTTTTTTCTATAGCACTTTATGGTTTGCAAAGCATTTTCTTCACAATAATCCTGTGCAGTAAGTGTTGTAAATGTTTAAATCCCCCCTTTTCACAGATGACAAAACTGAGGCTCAGAGAGAGCAGAATTGGGGACAGAATTCAAAGAGACAGTCTCTTGACTAGAAATCCATTATCCTCGCTGGTTGGGAGGGCAGGTACCATGTGTTTTCTAAATGTTGTGTCTTCTCCAGTTTTACTCAATCCAGTTTTCTAGCCCAATGTCCTGCCCTCAGTAAGGGCTAAGTAAATGTTTGTTGAATTGGATTGAATTTCTTCTTCTTGTTCCTCTCTCCATGCTCTTGACCCTCTTAGCAGGTTTTCAGGCAAAGCTTGACCGCTTCTCAGAGGCACTGTAAGGTCACCCTCTTTCTTTTTTTCCCAGCTCTGGGTTGGACTTAGTCTCTGAAATCCCTTAAAATCAGGAAGAAGCTGGAGCCAGCTCAAATCAGCCTGCTGTAAGGCCCAATTGTTAATCTTTACATCTTGGAAGTGGCAATCGTTACAAATCAGGGCTTGATTTATTATTTTGTTGATTGACTAGACTTAGGAGAGTGTTAATAATGCAGATTAAATTTAAAAGTGTGAGTGCATACATCTCTCCATCTGCCCCTCTGCCCCTCCCCCCCAGCCAGATTGTTAAACATATAACAGCATGCCCTAGATTTTAATTCTAACCATTCTGTAATTTTATGACCTCCTTTTCTTAGTAATGAGGCTAGGTTGAAGAGTGAGTCTGAAGCAGAGTTGGGGGTGGGGTGAAGGAGGCCCGAATTAAACTAACCTCTGAAGTAGCCAGACCCCAAAGGCTCCTGTTTTATAGTGCTTTGCCTTACAATGAAATGTGAACTTGTTGAGGGCAGGGACTGTTTTATATTTGTTATTATATCCCCAGCACCTGGCACATTGCAATGAACAGAATAGGGCAGGGTGGAGAACCTGCGACCTCGAGGCCACATGTGGCCTCTAGGTTGTTGGGTGCAGCTTTTGACTGAGTCCAAGTTTTACAGAACAAATCCTTTTAGTAAAGAGATTTGTTCTGTGAAGTTTCCATTCAGTCAGAAGGCTGTATTTGAGGACCTAGACTGAGGCCACAGGTTCCTTACCCCTACAATAGGGGCTTCATGAGTCCTTTCTGAATTGAAATGAAATGCTTCTTTTGACTTATAGATTAATTATTATTTGTTTTAAAAAAATTTTAGTGATGCCTTTTGTTGTCACATTACAATCATTTTCAAATACACCTTTTCCTCTTCTCCCCATGAGCCTTCCCTTGCAACAAAACAAAACAGAAAACCAGGTAAGCAAAACCAACCATCACATCTGCTAAGTTTGAGTATTACACTTCTGTAAGGAGAGGAGGAAGGTATGTTTCTTCTCCAGGGTTAAAATTGGTCATTATAGTTACAAGATGTTCAGTTCTGTTGTTTTTTTTTTTCCAGAAGAATTTATTTAAATTGATTTCTTTATTCTTTATGTAGAAGAGTCTGATTTTAGAAAGAGGGGGAGAATGCAGTGATTGATAGTTATGAGAATATTTATTTCATCTCTATTTTATTTCAGATGAACTAGGCAGTGAAAACGTCAAAAGGTAAGCCTTTTGAAGTTCTCAAATCAGCTCAATTGTTGATAAGCACAACTCTGGAGATCCTTAGGATTCTCCTGTTGTCAAGTCTTTCTTTTCTCCTGATTTTCCTTGGAAGGGAGGGGAAGTTCCTTTCTTCTGGTGAGGGATTTCTGTGTGCATTTTAGCACTATAACCCAAAAGATAGTCCCTAAGTGGTGAGCAAAAAGAAAGGCATTCATTTCCTTCCCTCCAAACCACATTCTCAGTAAGCTAAGAATCTCATCGGTTTGATTATTCTTGTCAAATGAACAACCCCTTTATATTTGCTACTAATGATTCTAAAGGCAAGATGGGTAATCAAAACTCATACTCTGGGTGATATCTCCCAATCTTGATGTTTTCTTATCTATTTCTCATGTTGTTAGGTAGTCTTATTCTTACCAAACAATTTCCCCTTAGCAATTAATTTTCCTTCTGAAACAAAGGAATAGTGGCAACCAAAAAGACAGTGGCAGAAATATAACCCTCACAAAATGATAGTGGGCATTTATACAGAGTTTTAGGTTTGTGAATTGCTTTATGTATATTATTTGAGCCTCACAACAGCTCTGTGAGGTAAGCGCTATTATTATTCCCATTTTACAGATGAAGAAATGGAGGCTGAGAAAAGTTAAATGACTTTTTCCAGGGTCACACATCCAGTCTAAGGAAAGATTAGAACTCAAGAACTCCTGACTCCAAGTCCAACCCCCTATCCACCATGCTGCTCCCTCTCCAGGAAGAAGCTTTTCTGGACAAAGCCCAGCAGCCCACTCTCCCAAGATCAACCAGTTATTATCTGATTGGACAATTTACTTGTCCCTTGTCTAATAAAATGTCCATACCACCAGGGATGGGAGCAGCAGCACAACATAGTGGTTAGAAAAGTGTTCTTACAATCAGAAAGACGTGGATTCAGATGCTGTCTCTGACTCATGCTAGTTGTGTGATGGACAAATCACTTATCCTCTGAATGGTCCAGGAAACTCTAAGATTTTCAGTTATACTTGAGCTGCTAAGCTGTATCTGTGGGGAACATTTCTACACTGATGAAATCAGAGGTCTGAACCCTGCAAAAAGCAGATGCTGGGGCTTTTCTTTTTCTTTTTTTTTTTTATGTCTATAATACCCAGACAGTTTCTCCCCGATTCTGTTCTACAGTCAGTTATGAAATCTGAGAATTGGTTGCAATGGATTTCTGAAATGGAAAAGTTCCATTTTTTTTTCAGAGGAGAGAAAAAGATAGGAGAAGGTAGAGGATTAAAGATGGTTTCTTGACCTCAGGGGATTTTTTTTTCAGAAAGGCTTTGATGAAAAGGGAAGTAAGACTTCACAGGGCTTAAAACATGAAGAATTACCTTCCTGAAGACAGTCTTCTGGTTGATGTGTTAGCTGACTGCATTTTCCACCTTTGGTCTGGCTTTTGGGCCACCCTGTAGTTTTCTCCCTATAGCCCACATGTTGATATTATGTTCACTTTTTTTTTTTTGGTCCAGTGAGAGATTGATGTTTCCTGTATCCTTAGCTTTGAGTGAAGGTTAACTTCACTGAATGAGGCAGAGTCCCTAGCCTGAACATCAGATACTGAATCATAAATAGCATTGTTTTTATGGTACTAAGACGTTGGGGACTCCTGGAGAAAAGCTTGGCCTACCAGACTCTTAGTTTCTCTTCTAACCTACCTTTTATGTCCTCTCTCCAGCCCCATTTTTGAAGAAGATACACCTTCTGTCATGGAAATAGAAATGGAAGATCTGGATAAATGGATGAACAGCATAAACAGAAATGGTATTGGTAACTCCTAGTTATATTTTGTAATGAGATTAAGAGCTTTTCCAGATAACCAAAGATGAGTTTTCCTAAAGATAACCAAGTTTTTTTCAGTAGGAGAGGATGTTTCTATTTGGGAGCCAAAGCATGGTAGCAACTGGACAAAAAGAAATTTAAAATACTAATCATAATAGCCAATACATTTTTTTCTTCACTCTTCAAAACATCCAATTATGTGGTAGTAGAGATCTCTAATCCCATTTTAAAATAGATTTCTAATGCCCTTAATAGCCTTAATGCTTCTATAAGAAAGGCAACATGGTACAGTAGGTAGAGGGTCACCCTGGGAACCAGGAAGCCCTGAGTTCAAGTCCAGATTTTCTGACACATGTGTGACCCATCAGTGTTCTAGGCAATTCTTTGACTGTAAGTTACAGAGAAGATGCAAGCCTGCATTGGTAGAGGGACTTTCCTCATCTGGGAGTTCCTTATACCAAAAAATTAGTAAGCTGTCTTTATCCTCATTCCTAAATGTTTGTATTGCATTTTGTCTTCTGTGGCAGCTAGGCTACTACCATTGTGACCACAGCAGAAAGCCATTTTTCATCCATTTTATATATTGAAATACCCAAATCATCAATCTTGGAACCAGGCTGGGGATCTGGTGTGGTCACTGATGTAGTTTGAGAATTTCAGTATATTTGGGTGGAAGTAGTGGAGGGAAGGGGAGATGATTTGTTTAAAAACACTGGGTTGGTGTTGTGAGAAACTTTTCATTGAAAGAACTCTAAAAGGTCCCGCCAAAGCTATGCCTTCGACTTCTAGAGCTCCCCAGGGACACAGAGTCTGAACAAATCATCCAAAGGATGAGGCTGTATTCTTCTGTGCTTATTCTGATGTCTGTGAAATGGAGTGACGTTGACTAATGATGGCCAAAATATCTTTCACCCTTTCCAGCTGAATGTGAATGTCTACCTACAGTCAAAGAAGAAGAGAAAGAGTCAAGCCACAACCCAAGGTAATTGCAGATAATGAAGGTGCTCCCTGTGGAGGTGGAGACTGTGAAGAAAAAGCTGCACAAAACATACAGGGCAATGTGTTTCAGTGGGAAGAGCATTGGCTCTGGAGTTAGAGGTCTTGGGCTCTGATCTGGCATGTATAACTTGTGTGGCCCTGGACAAGTCATTAGACTTTTGTGGGCCTCAGTTCCTCATCTGTAAAATGAGGGATTTGGACTAATTGACTTCTGAGGTCTCTTCCAACTCTGGATCTATAAGTCTATAACCTAGTGGCCACTTATAAAAAATTTAAAATCAGTACTTATACTTCCCAGACCTTCTAAGTAGATACTTAACTGTTCAGCTCCAGTTTTATTTCAGTCGCCCTAATTATGCTAAACTGTAGTTTGTGTGTATCAGAGAAGCGGATGTTTTGTACAGAAAACAGATGGCAGAAACAGTCTCCAAAGGGGGTGAATGTAAACAACAGCGAGAAAAAAAATGAAGCCTTACATTTAATAATTAAAAAAAAAAAGAAAAAAAGCCAACACCTGGACAGATTATTTTAGGAGATGGGGGCATTACAAAAACGTTTTTATTTCTGCCACTAGGTGGCTCTGCTTACTTGAGAATCTTATGCCCACCCAAGATGGGGTATTGCTGAGCGTCATATTGGTATAGAAAGAAGGTACTTAGATCTTGGAATCTTTAAAGCTGATTTGTAGACAGGGATTGTCTGGTCAGAGTACTGAGGAGATACTTTGCCCAAAGGTGGAACACTTGGAAAAATTAGAACAGGTGATCTAGAAGGCCGTGGAATTGAGACCCTACCAGAAGATGGTGCTTTTGGATGAAACATTAAATCAGGGAACTTAAAGAGCTTTTCATCATGCTTGTCTTTTGTTGAAATAGAAAGATCCACACACATTCCAATCCTTCTGATTAGAGTGAATTTCATTTTCCCAACCAAAACCCTTTTTTAATTATAATTGCTTTGATTCATCTTTTCTTGCATTCAGCTTGCCCGTTCCGATATGTAAAGAATCCAAACTTACCCAGCTGAGGCCCTGGAAATAGGCTTAGTTTGGGGTATGGAGAGTCAGCCTACCTTGGCCTTGGGGGAATCATAGTATCATAGCCTTAAATAGGGAAGATACCTTGCAAGTCATTTATGATCAAACACCCTTGTTTTATAAATTAAAAAACCAAGACCCAGAAAGTAATGACCAGGGTCATACAGGTAGTAAATGACAGCTACGATGAATCTAAGATTTTCTGCCGCCAAAGCTGACATTTTGATGATTCTACATCTTTCAGGCTACATGCTAATGAGCAGCTGCAGAGTCCCAACCCAGAAGCATGGGGAAATGCAGTATTTTGGTCATATCAATGATTAAGGGGGCTGGAAAGTCAATATTTAAACTCTTAAATGCTTCTTTTTCCCTCCACTCCCTTTCCTCCCCTCCAAGAAAGGCCTCCTTCTGTTCTCTCCAATCAACCCTGTTCCTGAAGAAGTGGAAGAGGGGAAATCTGATTTCATCATTTCTTTGTAGTGGTGTGAATCTAAGTCAATGAATCGCTCCCTCTTGGTATTTGCTTTTTAAAGGTTATCTCTTAATTGTGGAATGGAAGGTTTGCTAAAGGCAGTTCAAATGCTAGCGAGCTACAGAGAAAGTATTTGTGGGAAAGAGAAGGAGGATTTCACCGCCCCAAGAATCATATCAAGACATATTGTGACCCTAGACTGAATAAGGCAGGATCTCAAAATAGATTATTTCATCCTTGAACAAATCAGTGATTCCTCGTGCTGAAAACAACAACCCTTCCCCCTTGCCAAAATTCTATAATGAATGTAAAAGAGGCTTTTCATCAAACTAGATTTTTATCCTATTTAACTACAAAATAAAATCCTACTATAAACAGTAGGACTAGTTAGAAAATTTCATCTTCTGAAATTTTAAGAGAGAAACATTCCTTACTTAAACTTGACCCCTCTTGGCCTCCATCTCCTCATCTATAAAAAGAAGGGGTCAGATTTAGATAATCTCTAAAAACATTTCCAGCTTTTATTCCTGTGACTATTAATTCTGAGATCCCAGCTCCAGAAGTGTGTAATATAGAAAGGAAACATAATGCTACTGAGAAGCCTTACTTTTACCTATGACAAAGAAATTCCAGAACATCTTTCAAAATTTCCATCTCTTAAGAAAAGTAATTTACAAAGCTCCAGCTTACTACCTATACAGTGGGTGAGGGCTTCTTTGTGCATGGTCTAATCAAGAGGAGGTAGTCTCATCAACGGTCTATGATGCTCCTCTAATCTACTGATGGGAAGTTCAATTCAGTTTAATTCAACAAACATTTATTAATTAGCTATTATGTGCAGGACACTGTGCTAGGATGCTGTGTGATGGCAATACAAAGATAAACAAAACAAAACAACCTAGAAAGAAGAGAAAAATCCCTTCCTTCCAGGAGAATAGACAAGTAAATGCAAAGCATATATAAACCCAATCCAAAAGGTATTTATTAAGCACCTATTATATACAAGGAGCTTGGTATGGTGACTACAGAGTTGTCTTCTGAATCTAAAAGACCTGGGTTCAAGTCCACTTCTGACACATCCTGGCTGTGTGACCCTGGCCCAGTTACTTGACTTCTCAGAGCCCCCAGGCAACTCTCTGAGACTATAAATTATAAGAGAATAAATCTGATTTCGGAGAGGAAGTTTCTTCCCACAAACTCCTATACAATGAAATCACAAGAGTCTGTCTAAATGAACATGCACAAAGACACTGGGCTAAATGCTGGGCATACAAAGACAAAAGGAAAATGAGCTCCTGCTCCCAAATTGCTTATATGCTACCTTCACCTTGAGTTTGTTGATTAAAAATTTTTATGTTTTCGAAATGAGTAAAAAATCATTAGGTGTCATGAAGAGTCAGATATGACTGAACAACAAGAATCTTTGTATAACAATCATTCCAAACTCTGGCTTTATGGGATTCCAGATATCTCCAGTCCAATTCTGTCCAATCTAACAAGGATGCATTAAGCCCCTGCTATGTGCAAGACACTATCTAGGAGAATATCAATGTCCTTAACATCCGTAAAACAAAGTTGATCTTCATTTTCTTTCCTTTAGAATATATGCCATAAAATACAATTAAAACATTCTTTTAAAACCATTAAAAAAGAACATATGCCATAAAACCCCTTTAAGAAGGGGGACTGAAGAATGCCCCCAAGTCAGGCAATCTAGTGCTGAAATTGCCCAAAGCTTGCCATTCAGCAAAGTTGAGGAAATAACAGTTCATCCTGAATCCTGAACTGAAGGGTTCAGTGAGAATATCTCAAGAGAAAAAAGACTGAGAGTAAAGCTAGACTGTTCAAATCCAAATGTCACTGTTAATTAGCTGAAGAAAAAGAGTACCATTTTTCATTGTCGGTATGTCAAAATCTCTGATCATCAGATGATGTCAGACCTAGAAAAGACCTTTGAGATCAGCTCATCTAGTCCAAAATTCCTTAACGTTTCTTGTATCATAGACCCTTTCGGCTATTTAGTGAAGCCTACAGATACCTTCTCAGAATAATATTTTTAAATAATTGAAGGAAATGCTAAATTTCAGTTGGAGGTTAGTGAAAATAAGGATGTCATTTTCCCCCATCCAAGGTCATGGCATCCTCTGAAATCTCTCCACCTAACCTAGGTTAAGAACTCCTGATCTAGTCCAACCCCTTCATTTATAGATGGGAGTACAAAACTTCAGAATGCAGAAATCTCTTGCTGAAGACTCAGGAGTCATAAGTAGCATGGCTAGGGTTGAACCTATATCTCCAACTCCAAATTCAGTGCTCTTTCCACTTGAGACCCCGCTTTCTCCCATATGTTTTAGGGAATTGTTCTCTAGCATTACAATATTCTTTTATACTGATTATCTGTCCCAGGTTACTTGTCAACACAGTCCAGATTCAGTATATAATTGACAACTTATAATTTTGTGCCGAATATACCTACTCTGGCCTCCCAGGAATGGAAGGTCAGAACTGAATCAAGTTAGAGGAAGCCATCCTGGGGAAACTAATATGTTCCCTAAAAGCCAAATTTCAGGAATGAGGGAAGAAGCCAATCAGTTGGATTTCATTTGTACAAGTGTTCCAGAAGCTCAGAAATTCCTATTTAAGGAGAAAATTGAGCATCTGTCCAGTTACCAGTTGTCTAGCAAAGTCCAACTTTGACAGGTTAGTTCAAGCATCAGATACTCTTGATCATCTCTAGTTCTGAAAATGGTACGCCTGCTCCCTCACTGTGTCTCTTCCTATACATTCCATGAACTTAAAGGTCAATGCCCTATTCTTGGATTTACAAGGATTAATATCATAAGAGTTTTTTTCTTCTCTTAGCATAGTTGAAAATGAGTATGAATAGAGAGTCTGACTGCCCCAAAGAGCTTTCAGACTTTATGTTGTTGGCCCAGGCTAAACCAAGCTTGTGGGGTATTGAGGGAAGCTTGGGACCCCTAAAGATGTGTTGCAAAATATTACCCATCCTAAGAAATGAGGAATTTGCTTGTTTTCCTGGGATAAGATAGTCCAAATCTATGGCTATAAGCTCTTCCAAATTACCTGTGTATCACCCCTGAATGCAGTTCAATTTCAAAACACTCTCTACCCACCCCCACCCTTGTCATTCATTTTTTTTTTTTTGCAAAGTTATTAGCTTCCCTATAGGTTTTATTTTTTGCTTCTGCTTTTCTGAGACAAGTGCTACAGTGGAAAACACTTTGTACTGGTAGCTAGAGGACTTGGGTTCAAATCCTGACTATTTTCTATGTGAGTTTTATCCTTTGTAAAAGCTATAGGTTGGACTCAACAGCCTCTAAGACTCCTTCCAACTCTACATCTATGAGCTGGTTTTATTGATGTTATTTCCCCCAGGTAGTTTAAGTACAGGTGAAAACCAGTATCGAAGTTGAGAAGGATTAGCTTTTTATTGGAGGTCATGATCTGGCTCTGT